TTATTATTTGTACGTTATTACGACGAAACGCTCAAGTCAAAACGTGGTCAGACATAAACCAAACCACTTCACTTCTCACTTTTAACAGTTCTAACTTCACATTTTTAAGATTTGACACTTGACACGATACCTGACATAACATTAGATACTGGCAACGTTGTATTTCAAGGGGGCTACAATTAGCCGCTTCTCCCAAGACAGATTATATATGTCAGTCAATGACCCGATTTGGATTGTCATTAATGACAGCCAATTGGATTGAATTTGGCAGCTTGGCAACAATGGCGACAGCGCTGTTTTTGGCCAGTGGCGTGCCCAACCAAAACGGCATTGGCCATTGATCAAATGGTTTTTCCAGGGCAACTATGATCTGTCGGATGATAGGCCCGCATTGGACGTGGTTTGCCCAACATTGGGGCCAATTATTTTGCGAGAATGGATTATTTACGCAGCCCGATATCCGGCATAAAAGTGCAATCGCAAAAATAATTTGAATGTAGGCACAGACACAGAAAATCGCCAATAGACCTTGATATGGTTGCGTTCCATACACACACACACATGCCACTAATGCGGTAAAAGGTACTGCTTTATTGCCATACATTAACTTTTTCAGTGTCATTTTTCCACTGAGCCCGACCCTTCGATTCCCACAGTGGCGTACACAAAAAAAAACTATTCGAGAATGCATTGACTAATTGACTTCTAAATCAGTAAATTCCCGATAATTAAAGAATTTTTAAGACATTCTTTGATTTTTGCTAAAATCCAAGTGAAATGAAAGTGGAAGGTTATGGATCTACCGCGGTTCCAGCAGCACTGTGGTGATTTTTCAGCAAACGCACGCTACTGCAGGGCACCGACAGCCGTTTGAAAAGTATCACATTAACTTTATGGTCGGTTTATTGCGGCAGTTCCAATACGAAATTAGTTATAAATAATTTATCATATTATTGTTACGATCGCTATGTCGCTCATTTCGCACGCTTAACAATTTCCACCTAGCACAATCAATCGTTCTTGTCAGTCGATGTTGAAACTTTCAGCGAGCTTGCAACACGGCATATCCATAGTCCATGTCACTCAAACCGCCCCTTGACAGTGACAGTGGCACTTTCGCAGAATCACCACGTGTCAGATCAACTGTCATATCGCACAAGGAAAAGCATGTGCATTTATCGAACGCGCGCTTATCGATTATCGCAGCTGAACAGTCAAGTCAATTGGGGTCGACCTTTATGCGATTGTCCCAATTAAATGGCTCCGATCGATGTCCGTTTGCGTTTCACATCAATTCCGACCAGTACAATCGGCAGTTTTTCGACCCGTTACGGGTCAAGTGATTTTAGAGGTTATGTCGTCGATGAAAAAACTAAAACTGATCGCCCCGTTTCTATTGCGCGATTATTTCGGGGGCCTCGCGTCT